CCTGATTTTGTGATTTTCTTTTTGTGTTTGAATATTCGACTATTTTTCTTTGAATACCTCACATTAGTTTTCTTTGTGTTTGTCTTACTTGGGTTTTATAGAGATTGCTAAATCTTTGGCTAGATGTTTTCCATAAATTTCAGAAAATCCCCAGTTGACATCTCTTCAAATATTTATTCTGCCTAATTTCCTGTATCCTTTCACTTTGAAACCTAAATTACATGCTTGTGGGATGTTTGCCCCATGTCCTTTAATATCTGTTATACTTTTTTCTTTATTTTTCACTCTTTATTTTCTCCTTTCAGATCGTCAGTGTGTGTATTTTCTGCTGATCTGGCTTCCAGCTTACAATTCTTCTCTTTAGTTGTGTTTAATCTTTTGTTAAAGCCATCTGTTGAATTTTTTTTGTTTAACTTTAAGTTCTAGAATTTTCACTTGATTCCTTTCTAGCGGATTGTGATTTTGTGATGAAATTCAATGTCTTTTATTTTCCTGAACAAATTATTCCTCAGAATCTAGAGCTTGTGTTTTATAATTCTAAAATCTGGAGAAAGTGTGGTTCTCTCTCTGCTGTATTTTTTTTAATTGGAATTAGTCATTTGATCTCATTTCCTGCCATACCTAGTAATTGTGGATTGGGTGTTAGACATTATGTAGGAAAAATTATAAATCCTGTGGATATTTTTATCTTCCAGAGAGGATTTACTTCTCTTTGTTAGACATAGAATACTGGCAAATCATCTTGCTCTGCTAGGAATTGAAATTCTTGGAGAGTATATGATCTCAACTGAAAGTCACCTGCATTTACCAGGGCCACTTTTTCCTGGGAGGCCTAATTTTTGTCTCTCTAGCACCATGATAAGTACCAAAATCTATGCTTAGGTTTTCAGCTGATTTGAGACTAATTTTTTTGCTAATTTCTCATCCTCTTGCCCTTTATATGTGGAGCTCAGACATATTTACAAAAATCAAGAGGTAGCTGGGTGCAAATTATTGGGCACACTTCTTTCTGGTTTCCTTTTCCAGGGTTTGAAACCCTCAGGTTCTAGCTGCTTTGGTAGCCCTGACTCTGGTTATCTCTCAACTCAGTGAAACCTCTTTCAGCGTTAGAGCATTACTTTTTTGTTTGAATTCTATGCAAAACAGCCAATGCCCTAAGGGGAAAATTAGCACCTCAGTGGGCTTTTCTGTTCTCTGAATATTGTCTCTTTAAGTTCTGGCTACATTTTTTTCTCTGATATGCCTTCAAAAAAATTTTTTTGGGGGGTGCCTGGGTGACTCAGTGGGTTAAAACCTCTGTCTTCGGCTCAGATCATGATCCCGGGGTCCTAGGATCGAGCCCCACGTCGGGCTTTCTGCTTGGCGGGGAGCCTGCTTCCTCCTCTCTCTCTCTGCCTGCCTCTCCGCCTACTTGTTATCTGTCAAATAAATAAAATCTTTAAAAACATTTTTTTAAAATCAAACTTTTATAGTTGTTTTTAGCAAAAGGATTGGTCGTCTAATGCAAGTTCTTCTCTCATAGCCTGAAGTAGAAGTATCTCTCATCTGATTTCACACTACTCATGAATTAAGTAGAGATCTGCATAAACTTTGTTATGTGTGTTAACTTTGAAATTTAAATCCCAGCTGGCCACTGACCAATATGTGAGAACTTGGACAAGTTTAACCTTCTTTGACCTTTTATTTCCTCACCTTTTAATCAATATGTGAGAAATGAAGTTGAAGAGACCTTTAAAGATCAGTTAAATCCACTTATTTAAACTATTTCAGAGCACAGTAAAAGGAAAACTTCTGAATTCATTATATGAAGCTGGTATCATTTTAATTCCTAAATCTGAGAAAAAACGGCACCTAAAATTAATAGAGCAATCTCATATATGAATATTAATGTAAAAACATACTTAAAATCATTACAAGTAAAATCCATCAATATTTTTTAGTAAGTGTATCATGATTAAGAAACGCTTATTCCAGAAATACAGAGATAGGTGAATACCATGAATTCTACTAGAGCTAAAGAGAATTCTAATAGATCTAAGGAGAAAAAGAATCATGAAAATCTCCTTAAATTCAGGAAAAGTATTTGATAAAATTCAACACACATTTTTTTATTCATCTAACAAGCATTGAACGTCTTCTCTCTTACAGCATTGAGGATAGCATTGGGGAAGCAAGAATGAAAAAGATATTGGTGCCATCCCATCTCACATTCCAGTGGAGGGAAATGGTCAGTAAAGAAACAAGTAAAAGGACAAGCTAGAACATCCATTTATTTCAAAGACTCAGTAAATCGTGCATGGATTTCATTAATATGGTGGACATACCTTGAGCCAAAAGCCAGCATTTTGTTTCCCTTAGTAAGGAAACACTAAAGGTTTTCTTCTTAAAGTCGGACACAAGACCAGTATGCCCATGGGCATGCCAAGTTTCCACAACACTTAAATAACATCAGATAGAGGAATTAGCTGAAGCAGTAAGACAAGAGAAAGACATAAGAAACCTAAGAAATGGAAGGAAAGAGATAAAATCATAGCTATTTGAAGATTATATAAATACATCGAAGGAAACCCCAAAAGAATCAATGGAATAAGAAATTCAGTCAAGGGGCACCTGGGTGGCTCGGTGGGTTAAAGCCTCTGCCTTCGGCTCAGGTCATGATCCCAGGACCCTGGGATCAAGCACTGCATTGGGCTCTCTGCTCAGCGGGAGCCTGCTTCCCTTCCTCTCTCTCTGCCTGCCTCTCTGCCTACTCATGATCTCTGTCTGTCAAATAAATAAATAAAATCTTAAAAAAAAAAAAAAGAAATTCAGTCAAGTGGCTGGTTAAAAATCCATACATAAAAACCACTCATACGCAGAAATAAAAAGCAATTAGAAGGTATAATGAAAGAAAATTCTATTTATGATAACAAAAAATCTACAAAAGAAATATTCAGAATACATACAGGAAAATTATAAAATACTTTTGGAAGAAAAAAAAAACTTGAACAAATGATGAGAAATACCATGTTGTTAGATAAGAAGATACAACATAATGCAGATGTCAGTTTTTCTTAATTTACAAGTTTTATACAGTTGCAGTAAGACATCCCTAAAGTCTTCTTCTTGAATTGTATAAGTTGCCTATGAATTTTCCCTGTTCCAGAAATACTGGTTACTTCCAGGGATGTGGTGCCTGCCTCTGTAGCAGAGAGCTGAGGAGCAGTGTGGGCTTGGCTTTGTGCAGTGATGTGCCTTGTAGCTTGCTTAACTCTCATAACACTTAGTGCTCTCAGTGGACCCTCTTCAGGAACCAGCATTCTAGAAGCTCATTTCACTAACTGTGCTGGTGCTGATGAGCTGCAGGCCTATAGCATGTGTCTTCCATTGGTTTCCACTTGGGCTTTTGACTCATTACAGAAGTGGCAGTCAGAGAATGTAATTTGGGGCAGGAGAGGGGATACACTTTCAAGTGCCTCCTCAGTTTCATCCCTCATATTACCTCTGCTTCCTGATCCCAAAGGATACTAGACAAGAATGCTGATATTGTGAAAGACACATGCCATTTGCTACAGAAGTGCTGGTGTTGAATGGTCCTCTTTGTCATGATGGCAAGAAGTTGGCCCAAGCTTGTTAGGTACTTTATTCTCTCTTCTTTGGTTTCCAGCATGGATTTTCAATTTTTTCTTGATATTAGACTTTGTATCCTAAACTGGTTATTGATGATGAATTATAGGTACTTTTGATTAGTTGTGAAACCACAGCATATGTTTCCAGCTTTTCCCTCCTATTACTTCTCACTGGGTCTCTTCCTGCTTCGTGAGCATACCCTGTTCTCTCCCCTTACCCTGCCTTTTCTTAAGCATTTCTCTCTTCCTGGTGAACCCTCCCTCCCTTACTCCTATCTGAAAGCCTGCACATTCTACAGTGCTATTTCAAAGGCTCTTTTAAAAACCCTTTCCTTTATGTATCCACCTGAATATGAATATACTGGTATTTTTCAAGGTAAAACCACCCCTTTACTTCTCAGTAATTTGTGTTTGTTCTGTAGCCTCCTGTTCAACTAAGAATGTTTCTTTTTTTTTACTTTTTTTTCAGCTATGAATGTTTTCAATGCAAGAATTCTGTCTGTTTTGCTTATATAACTTCTCAAACACTTTGCTTATTGCCCTATACAAGCGGGAAGGCAGAAATGAATTTAAAAAACAAATACCAAAGGCTTAATTTAGTCCACTGGCCTGGACTGGCTGTCCAGATTGTAAGATCCCACCCTTTGGAAACTATTGAATTGAGGACAGTCAATCGCTAGATAACGCCAGTGACCCACTCAGGAGCAATGGTGGTCTTCATTATGGCCCCACAAACCATAATCTACTGCAGGTCAGATCATTCTGACTCCTAACTGCTTGTGTTGTTCCCAAGCTCTATAGTACCTGCAGTCTAGGTGGAAGACGTGGTATCAGCCCGGGTCAGGGTCTTCCTTCACACTTGGTACCAGTCCAGATTCCACATAATGAAGAAGACCACGAGAATTGTCTCTGTTCATTAAAAACTGAATGATTGGGACACCTGGGTGTCACAGTCATTGAAGTGTCTGACTCTTGATTTCGGATCAGGTCATGATCTCAGGATTGTGAGACTGAGTCCTGACATAGGCTCCCTATCAGGCATGAAGCCTGCTTAAGATTCTCTTTCTCCCTTTCCCTCTGGCCCTCCTGTGGCAAAAAAAAAAAAAAACAAACAAAAAAAAAACCACAAAAAACCTTAAATGATTAATAATGTATTTTTTTTATTAAGTCCCCAAACAGCAAGTTGTTTACCTTTACTGGTGTGTGTGTGTGTGTGTGTGTGTGTATGTGTATGTGTGTTGGGAGTTTAGTAGACCCAGCATTGCTGAATGTCATGTTCTTATGAAATTGTTCATCATTTTGTGAATAAATGGCTAGCAGAGGTGAGATTTTTGCAAGTATCTGTACATGTGAATTATTCTTCAAAAACACAAAGCCTTTCTTTTCTTGCAGGAGTCCAGAAGCTTTGAAGTCGCAAGAAGAGAAGGTAGGGAAAATGCATTCATACCCATTTCGTTCTCAGTGTTGACATTTTGGAAGTAGTTTGTTGAAGCTAACATGAACTTCAGACCGTAGGCAGCCTGTTCTTTCAGATTTCATGTGGCCTTTTCTGGGTGCTGACTATTTGGTACTTGCCTCGAAGGACTGTAAGAATTGAAATCCAGGGCTGCTTGAGAGAACTGTGTCTTCTACTTCGACTATCCGAAGTGGAGGTCTGGGGACCTGGCTTCTTCATGATCCTATCTGTGGTCTGGAGAGAAGCCTTATTTTTGAGTGGAGCTTGAAGTAATTGTTTGATTTCATCCAGCAAAAACAACATCAACAATAAAAAATGGTTTATGATTTGAAGTGTTTCAATAACTGGGAGAAGGTGCCACTGTGAAAAATATTTGTAATTAGATTTTTGCAGCTTTCGCTAAGCTGAAATAGAAATAACCAATTAATGTCCCTTTTGCAACAATTCCATTATGTTCATTTTCACTGCCGGTTCCCCTAACACATTTGTTTTTTGGTCTCTGACGTAAGTATGCATGGGTGGTGATTTCTGAAACCTTTCCTTAGAAATTGAAGTTTCCCTTACTTTCAGCAATACCAACTGTCAAATAAGATGTATTTTCCATGGTGTGGGACATCTTTGCCAATCATCTTTTTATTGCAGGGCTAGGAGGAGGAAGTCGGGAATCAAAGTGAGTTCTTGATCTGGAGTCTTTGGTTTCAGCCTTAATGACAAACTTCTCTGTAGCATTGTCTCCAGAAAGAGTGGTGATCTAAAAGGTGTGAGCAAATTCCACATAGACCTCTAAATGGAATATGTCCTTGGTTCCTGATTAGTTCTTCTTTTAAGCCCCACAGTTAAAGACCTAGAATGGCCATGTTATCAAATTATGTTTCTAGAGCTGAGAGACCCAAGCCTTGCATACTCAGTGTATTGGTAAACTAGTCCACCTGGTTGTTTGCTGCTCTCCATGGGGCTTGAACCCTGGGTTTAAAGGAGCTGGGTAATCTGGCTCTGGGCTAAACTTTGTGGCTTCCATTCCCATTTGCCATGGTCTCTGGATTTGGTCTCAGCGTCCTGTGAACTGCATCTGTAGGGTAAGCTGCATTGTGTCGATCTCAAAACCAAATGAAATTGGGTGGATATGGTGGAGCCAGGAGGCCATGTTTCTTATTGATGTAAATGGGAAAGAAATAGCCTTGAGCAGAAAAGTTGGCATGAAATTTGGTTTTGAGTATTATTTAATTCATGTCAGTAGCCCCGACTATGAATGTTGGGAATTAATTTGCTTTATGGAATCACATATCAACCTAACTATTCTGGAATCTTACTTTCCTTGTGTTAGAAAGGTCTCTAAATACTAAGGCTGGGGTATGAGAGAATCATGTGTATATTTGCTCAGAGGCCTTAAAAGGCTGGATTGGACCTCTGGCTCCAAGTCCACTGAAAACTGACACTGTTGGAGGATGAGCATAGGTGTGTTTGACTTGTGCTCTACTCATCCATAACCTTCTCGTCTTTGGAATTAGCAGCTCTCACAGCTGGCTGACTGGGAGTGTATGCTTCGAGTTTGTACCAGCAAATTTGTCCTGACAGCACATAAACTTTTTTTTCCCCCATTGTGAACTCATGTCTTTCTTGCTTGTTTCTGTCAAAGTTGAGTGTTGGAGAGTTCCTGAAATAGCTTAGTGCCTTAATGTCAGTGCTTATAACGTGGCAGGAAGGAAAGAAGGAGTGGGACCCTGCAGGTTGGTTCCAAGTATTTTCAGGCCTGAGGATTCACTTGCTTGAGTGGTGGGATGGTTTTTCTTCTCCAGAAGAGTGTACAAGTATAAAAATTATAGAAATGCTCTAAATATTCCAATAAACAATTATTCCTACAGATGAAAATAAGACATTATTGTCTTTCAACAAACACTTAGGGTTATTTTGCAGTTGGAAAGGAAAGAGGAGCTAATAAGTAACACTGAATTTTTCTGCCCAGTTTATCAGGCCCAGGAGAGTTTGGCAAGGTCTGGAGAAGGAAGCCTCCTGGTCACACAATCCAAGATGTCTTCCCATTTTTTGTTTTCAGACTACATCTGACTGAGGAGTATCTTCTCCGTCTCAGGTTCAGTGGCACAAACAATGATCAGCCACAAGCTCATCCTACATGACTTTTGGGAAGTGTTGACTAAGTCTGTGAAGTGAGAAGTGAGAGGGACTCAATTTGGTGGGAATGGAGTCTGGGATAGACCACAGTGGGGTTGGAGTTTGTGGGCTTTATAGTTGCAGCCCTAGGAAAATAATCCACTTGGCCAGTGCTGGACTCAGTATAGAGTTAGTTGTTGAGACTTGTACTGCAGAACCTCTTCGACCTTTAAGATGCTAAGTCTGACTCCCAAAAGGGGGTGTGATATGCTGCATTTCCCAAATTTAGTTTCCCATGGTGTCTTAATCTTATGTATTCGATTGTCTTGGGTCTGGCCTTCCATGCAGGATCCTTTGCAAGGCCTGCTCCAGGGAGTTCAGGCAGAGGGAGTGTGTCCTCAATGCCCAGGATGAGCCTATGATGTGGGTCCAGTAACTTCCATGGGCTTTGCATGGACAGGATGGTAACGTGGTGATAATGAGAATAACTTCTCAGTTCTCAAGTTTGCAGAGAGCATTTACCCTTAGCAACACATGACAAGAGGAGAGCATCTTCCTTCCTTTCCATGCTAATTTGTAGGAACAAGAACTCCCTCTGGACCAATGTCCCTTTCATGCACTGCTCCTCTCTTGTGTATATTCTTCTGCCCGTTCATGCCCACTGCCAAGGGTAGAGAGCTAAGAGGGACTCTTGGAAGCAAACTATCTAGGGGTTATTTGATGACAAGTTACACTAGGGCTGGGGCTCTCAGGGGAACCTGGAGGGAAATATATCGTACCAGTGAGTGTGGCAGGACTGCAGGACTGGTAGGATGTCTTCTGGGAAGGACACATGCCTGCCTCAGCCACCAAGCCCTTCTTCCTTCAGTCCTTGAGCCCTGGGAGCCACCTGTGCTAGCTGCCTGGGGAAGGACAGATGGTTGCATCTTCATCTCCTTTCCTTTGCATGCGTACTTTTACCTCCCTACAGACACCTTCAATTTAATTTCAACTTTTTCTAAGGCTTCAGCCAAAGGTGCCAATCTCACCTCTCTGAGACACTCCCGTGTCCACTCTGAGGGCTGGTGCTGATTGTGACTGCCAGAATTCATCTGCTCAGACCAGCACTTTTCTCTAACTGATTACGTCACATTGAATTATAGCCCTGAGAGAACACTTGAGTGAGCTGAGCCAAGCAGCCAGGATAATTCAGCCCTTGTCAGCCATCTCTTCGGAACATGCAGTGATCTAGACACCATTCCAGATGCTGCGACTGTGTTGATTAGAGGTTGTGAGTTTTGGGGTGGGTACCAATGTCCTATTGCGTGATCCAGCCTCCCAGGGATGGTTCTCTCACAGGTTCTCGTCCAGGCCAGCCTGACCTGGCTTCTGGCAGGATGTGAGGGAGATCTGAGAGCAGATATGCACTGTCCTCCTGGAAGGAAGAAGACTGAGAGAGGGAGTGACTGTCACACCCCCATGGTGGCTCTGACTCCTTAGCAATGCAAATCTCCTAAATAAACATGACCTGCCTGCACCACACCCCCTTCCCCTGCTGTGTGACTAGATCCTCCCTTTCGAAAACCTTTGGAATTAGCCCTTAATTGGCAGCTGCCTCTAATAGCCTCTTTATAGTTCTCTGCATCTGGGTGAACTTCAGCTATCAAGAATTGCGTTCTGTTTACCATTAATTCTGATTTTGTTTAGCAGATGTTTTCTGGATCTCTCAGTTGCCTGCATAATCTGTCTTGGTATAATGCGATCTGGCTGACTCTCTTCCATAAAACAGATTAATAAACTCCTAGCTTCTTTTGAGGTAACTTCTTTAATGGCTGCAGATGCAGGGAATTTAGAAGGCAGCCACCCACATTTGGCAGTGCCTGGGGTAGTAGGTCCTTTTCAAACCAAGACTGCCGTCTGGGCAAAGAGATGAAGTTTCTGTCACCTTTCTACCCTCACTCTCATGTACAGGGGAGCTTGCTGGTTCTCTCCTATAGACCCTGGGCCTCAAAAAGGTAAGAGTGACATCGAACTCTAATTCTAGCCCCACAGAAATGGGCTCTTTCTGGGTGGCACCACCATTTTTCAGCTGCTGGAAAACTATATTGTTCCTGCTTGCCCCAGCTTGAGTGGGAAGTGGGTGGCACAGCTGGCTGGTGTGTTCTGGTTGGACACAACGATCTGACACCCATTTGTGAGCATGACGCATTGGTAGGCAGTAGATTCCTACCTCTCTACTTACTCACAGGCTGACTTGGGGTATGTTCCTCAGTCTTACTGGAGAAAAGGGCATAGTAATAGTAGAGACCATTATTCCTAATCCTGAATCACAGTCAGCAAGCCAGTCTGCCCTGGCTAAAGCCTGAAAGTCTCATGAAACTTGAGAATCCAGGGGTGGCTCCGGCTGCAAGCACCACTGATAAAAGGCTTCTCTGCCTCTTTCCTTCCTTGGCATCTGTGCCTGGTGGGGTTGATAGTCTCCATTATGGCTCTTCCTATCTTGCCCGTGTAGATCTGGCCTTAGACCTAGAGTGACAAATGTCTCCAGTCACCAAGCCCATCCCTCTGTCTCCAACCAGACTTGTATATGACCTTGCATGTTGTGGCCTGTTGACCATGAGGAATTATCTGGAACTTCGCCTGTTCCCATCCTCTCTTCTCTCAGAGTCTTGAACTTTTTGCTCGAATTCTTTCATTTCACAGTCAGAAGAAACACGGCTCTCTTCTTGGTGTCTTTAAGAACTTAAGGGCAACACGCATAAAATTTCTCTCCCCAGATTAAGGTTCCCTGGGCACTGGGGTGAGAACTGTCCTTGAGTGTCATAGTTACCATCCCTTCAATTACTCCATCAGAATAAAGCTCAGGGATTGAGGACAAGGGC